CCCAACATCCCACTGTTCACACTCTTCGGATCACCCTGGATACCCCACACGCTTCACTCAGAACACTCACGTCACACACACACACACACACACACTCTACAGCTATGGCAGCGCTAGCTGCCACTACCCTATCGCTATGCTATGCTTCTCTGCCCACTTCGACTTCGGGCCCGCTGCAGACCTCCTCGCACAAGACGCTGAAGCAGCGCTTCCGCATGGCTTCCGCAGGAATGAATGAATGGYTGTGCGCARCCTCTTGATTTATACTTYCGTGACTCGTTGGTCTGCCCTGTTTCCCTGGCCCATGGTGTACACAGTCCCAGACGGTACTTGCTTGACTGGACCGGACTAACTGGACTGGGACTGCTGACTCTGCGTGGTGGACTTCCACCACTTGCCCACTTGCCTAGACCTACAGTGGGCTGACTTCCGAAAGGCCACTTCTAGAAACCTCTATCTGGCCTTTCGGTACTGTAGCAGCTACGACTCTGCCCTTTCAGGTAAGTAGCAGCTACGACTTTGACCCTTCGGACAGTCTACAGCTACGACCTCTGGACTGTCAAGACTCCTACCCGACAAGTCTACAGTTCGAATCCCTTATACACTATAGCCTACGAGATCCTACCTACCACTGGCGGTCCTACAGGTCGCAGGTTCAAATCTACGGGTTGACACAGGCACTGAACACAAGTTGGGTGGGGAACTAGGGATCGAGCCCTGGAATCTACATCAGCTACTGCGAACTGGTGAATACCGTTTCACTCGCACCGGCCTGAATTCGAGGTCCTCCGAGAATGTTCCATTCCAAGGCGGGACCTTTACCCTTTTTGTCCCGTTCATAAGCGTGAACTATGTCGGGAGCTGTTTCTAGAAGTTCAGATCTAGTAAACCACCGGTCGTCTTCAGGTTCCTGATAAGCAAATCGGACCTTATACTGTTTCTGGGGACGACCTCTACCCCCTGTTCTAAACACATCTTCATCGACAATGCTGTCAATGTCATACCTCCCATCCATGTCTGGTGGGATCATGGATCGTCTAACTGATCACTCACTGTACATGGCAACAACTTTGACGCATGGAAAACTGGGTAGGTGTGGAGGTGTAGTGGAAGCTCCACAGTGTAGGACGGACCATCCTCGCCACCTTTGACTTCTAGAACTGGCCATGGCCCTCTATACGTAGGCAGTAACTTCTGCAAGATGTTCTCCTCAGGAGCAAACTCTCTAGCGCTGACCCAGACTAAGCCGCCTACTTGGAACTGTGAGGGGCGACGATGTTTGTTGGCGTGCTCTATCATCCTATGCTGGGCCTTCCTGAGGTTCTCTACAACGGTAGCTAGTTCTTTCTCGTGCTGTATAACAAACTCCCTAGTACCGGGCGGTAGCCTATGGATCTGATCCCGGTTAAGTCCTTCAAATGGTCTGCGCGGTCTGAAGGACTTGTGCAGTTCGTTGGGAGTGCGGCACGTAGACAGATGCACACTATTGTTGTAAGCACTGGCTACCTTGGGAAGCATCTCGTCCTAGTCAACTTGATCTGGTCTAATGTACATTCTCAGAACTTGCTGCAGGATCTTATTTATCTGTTCAGTCTGACTGTTGGTCTCTGGGTGACGGCCAGATGACATTAGCAACTTAGAGCCATAGACTTTCATTAACTCCTGCCAGTTCTGACTCGTGAACCGGGTGTCTCTATCACTGACTATGGACAATGGGACCCCGTGCTCACTGACCCAATGATCAAAAAACTTACGAATGACTAACTCAGTTCGTGCCTCTGAAGGCAAAGGAACAAAAATAGCATACTTACTAAATCTATCGACTATCACCATGACTTGGCTCTTGCCATGTCTACTCTTGACGCCCGCGTCCATGAAGTGATGGACACCGAATCTCCGGGCTGATCAGGGATAGGTAAGGGTCTGAGAAGGCCTAACGGGGCACACGTAGTGGTCTTATTCCGCTGGCAGACTTTGCAACTGCGAACATACTCTATGCAGTCATTCTTCATACCCGGCCAAGTGTACGTGTGCATTAGATTGGCTAGAGTCTTCTGCCAACCGAAATGACCCTCTGTGTCGTGACATTCTCCTAAGATCAGACTGCGGATCTCTTCACTATTGGGAATGCACAATCGGTCAAATACATTAGTCTTCTCAAAGAGCAATCCCTCAGTAGTGCGGTAGTCTGGCTCGGTCTCAGGGGCCCCCTTTACTTTCTTAAGGAGGTCACTATAGATGGGGTCCTGTGCGTACGCTTCTCTGACCTTTTGCTGAAGGTCTTTCCCTATGTCCAGATAATGAACTATCGCTCCAAAGTAGTCAGCTCTCCTACTCAGAGCGTCGGCAACTACATTATACTTCCCTTTGACTGGCTTGAGCTCGAAATCATATTGGTCTATTTCTGCGGCCCACCTAGTAAGCTTAGGTTTCATCTTGGCCTGCGTCTTCAACCATCTTAACGTTTCGTGGTCGGAATAGTGCCTGCTTTAACTCTTCATAGCAGACGTGCAGTCCTTGTCCCACTTCCAGATGGTTTCCTTCCTGAGCAGTCTGGGGGCGCAGCGATAGTGGAAAAGTTCCTAACGAACTTCCTATAGTAGTTAGCTAAGCCCAAGAACGACCGCAACTCTGTTAGCGTACGCGGCGTGGGCCAATCTCTAATCGCTGTGATTTTGCAATCTTCTGGCTTAACGTCGTCTCCGTCTAAGACGTGGCCTAAATATAAAACTTGGGTCTTTGCCCAATCGCACTTCTTTGCATTGATCTTGAAGTTAGTTTCTCTCAGCTTCTCCAAGACCTGCCAGAGATGACCCTGATGTTCTTGGAGGGTCTTGCTGAACACTAAGATATCATTTGAGTAGAGAACAACAAATCTATGTAACCATGGCCTAAACAAGTCGTTCATACAGCGCTGGAACGTCGCTGGCGCATTGGTTAGTCCAAAGGGCATCACTATGAGCTCATAGTGCCCATATCTATTCCGGAAGGCTGTCTTATACTGATCATCAGGATGCACCTCTATCTGATGATATCCGGACTTCAAATCTATCTTGGAGAAGTACTTTGCCCCCTGCACTCGATCCAAGAGATCGTCTATCCTAGGCAGTGGCTCAACATTCTTTACTGTAATAGCATTCAGACCCCTATAGTCTATACACATCCTCAACTCTTCCTCTTTCTTGGGGACAAAGAGAACAGGCGCTCCAAAAGGAGACGAACTGGGCCTAATCCAACCCTTCTCAAGGAGCTCATCTAATTGCTTCCGAAGCTCCTCTAACTCCCGCGGAGACATCCTATACACAACTCCTTTGGGAGTTCTACTGCCAGGCTCAATCTCAATGCGGTGCTGGATAGGCCGCGGTACTACTCCTATCGGCGGCTCAGCTATATCTTTAAACTCCTCCAGCAGCTTGGCAATAGCAGGGTCTATAGGCTTCTCTTCCTTAGGCTCAGTTACTAGCCTAACATAGGCTACAAAAACCTGTTCCTCTTGTTGCTCCTTCTTTATTAACCTTGCAAACGCAGGAGCACTAAGGCAGCAATGCGCCAGGGAGGTGTCTACTCCTGACATATGGAACAGACGGGCAGTCTTGACGCCGCCTGACGGATTAGAGAGCCTACACTCGTGCTCTCTCAAATGGAGTGTGGCCCCTGTTGCCTTTCCCCAGTCCATACCTAGGACTATGTCAAACGGGAGGTTGTCCTCTACGAGGAGAGTCAGGGAATGGAGAACCTTCTCCACTTTCCCATCCTTTTCTAGGCGGAAATACGCCTAGACTCCCTCTACGTATTCCTCTACCCGCATAGTGCGGTTGTTTGCGAGGATACTTACTATAGGGTCTGCTAATCTTTTGACCTTTAACTGCAACTTCAGCTTCTGTAGCGCCTTCCTACTAATATAACTACGAGTGGCTCCACTATCCACTAAGGCGCCAACTCGACCTCTAAAAATCTCTGTATCTACTAATATTAGCTGTCCTTTCTGTTTTTTTTTCATCTTGGCCCAGGCGGGCATCCTCTCCTTTAACTCTTCACCCACGCCTGTGAGGGAGGTGTCTAGGGAGACCCTAATACAAGCAGTCTCTGGACAGCTGTCTAGACACCAGCCTGCAACCTCTGCCATAGGCACATGTCGTTTGGGAGTTTCCTGTCGGCTAACGCTAATTTCCCCACATGGCCTGATGGTAGGGGTAGTTGCTACCCCTACCGGCGGCTGCCTTTTGGCCCTTGAGCAGTCGTCCGGGTCTCTCTATACTTAGGACAATATTTAATGATATGGCCCGGGTCACCGCAGTAAATGCATTGGCCCCGGTCCAGACGCTGTTGCCATAAGCCCTGGTCCAGACCCAAACTTTCCCAAGGCCTACCCTGCGGTAGCCCTGGGTGCCATCCACCTACCCTATAGGGAGACCTATTCCTAGGACGGTTTTGCAGGGGACCGTGACCCCTTCCTCCCGCTTGGTGGTTTCCTCCTCTACCGCCAACCCCTTGATTGCCCTGAAACCAGCTCCCTGAGGCCCGGCCCCCTTGGCCCTAGCCTCGTCCTCCTCCTTGCGGCCTCCCTCCAGCCACGACAGCGGCGTAAGTTCTCCCCTGACTCGCGCCGCTGTCCTCATTCTCTAACCCCCATTCAATCTGTTCGTAGGGGATCTCGTCGACACTACCTTCATCTAAGGTAAGGACAAGACTATCCTTAGTCTTAACTTGCCCTGAGATAGTGTGACCCTTCCACTTCTTTCCCTTGTCTAAGTCCTTGTGCCAGAAAATGAAAACTGACACAGACTTTGCCTCAAACGCCACCACTTCCCTGCTAAGCGCATCATACGTCATAGCAGGGTTTTGGCTCTTCGCGAAGAAGTGCCCTCTAAACGTTTCGGGCATAGCCCGGTAGAAGAGGTTGACCAATTGGGGCTCTGTGACCCCGTGGTCAGGAACAACCACTAACTCATCCATTGTGCTCTTGAGTGCCCTCGCGCTCTTCCACTGACGGGAATGGATAGTTTGCAGCGTATCGGAGACCTTAACACTACGAGCAACATCAGCGAATCGCTCGCGCAATAATTTCATAAACTCGGCGAGGGGGGTGAATGTGGAGTACGCAACGGCATCTTCATTGCAGTTGGCAGCGCGGACTAGGGACCTCGCGAAACTGGCGGCTTCATCTCTAAGCGCATGAATCGCAATCAACACGTGCTGATCTGGGGAGAATTGTTGCAGATGCACATAGGTCTTGACATTGGCCTCCCAATTGTCGAAGTTTTCTCCCATTTTTCCACTGTAGGAATCGGGGAACTAGCCTTTGACTGGCTCCCTGTGAGGACGTGCCTCCTCCTCCTTGGGAGTTGCCGCCTTGACGCCTTTAATCGTGCCGACGCAGAAGCGTTCAGTTTCTCGAGGCGATGGTTCACCTCGGCTCCTACTACGCCTACGAGTTCGCGAGCAAAGTCCCGAAATCCCATCCGCATCGAACACACAGCCATATCCTGACTTCTACTGAACTCGTATTGTTCCTCCAGTACTCGGGCCAAGCGCTCGACACTCTGAGCAATGATCTCTACCTTTCGTTGGAGGTCTACCTGAGGGGTCAACTGTAAACTCAGTTCCTGCACCTCCTCTAACTCTTTGACCGCTGCACTTACCGCGTCCACCCTCTTCTTCTTCTCCCTCATCATCCTTAACTTCCACTCCATTCTCTTCTCATCTTCCATCGCTTGCCGCTTCAGAGCATCTCCTTCTGCTTCCCACTCCTTCATAGCGGCTTCCTGCTCGTCCTTGGGGATATGCATAGCTACCTCCTCTTCTTCTCCCAAGGACAAATTGGCGACCCACTCTGAAATCCTTTTTTCCATCTCCTCACTTTTGTTGCCACTGTACTGCCCTCGCTGTTCTCTTCTCCTTTCCAGTGGCTAATCATCTTCCTCCTCTTCTTCTTCCACCTCCTTCAACTTCGATTCTTCTTCTTTCTTCAACCTCTCCTTCTCTCTGGCCATCTCCTCCTCTATCTTTTTCAACTTTGCCGCCTGCTCCTCTTGTAGGGCCTTTTTTTTTGCCTCTTTCTTCTCTTTCCTTTCCCTCAGAATGGCGGTCATCTTCTCCTCCTCTTCCTTTGTGTAAGGTGTAGTGGAGGTGCCGCCCCGGGTTCCTACTCTACACATGAGCGTGGGCCAAAACCCCAGGGGAAAGAGGAGACGCCAAAGGGTCCCCCGCAAGGAGAACCCAACAAGTAACCCATACATCGGATAGTCATCCATGGTGGTGTCAGGTGCACGACAAGGACTCCCACTCCTCACCACTTAGACCTATCCGGACACTGACACAATGACTGACTCTCTAAGGACCACACGGTGGAACCCTGTCAACTATGGCCACTAATTTGGACCTACTCTAAGGCTGTCACTACTGAACCAACAGCTGATCTGGAGGCATTTAAGGAGATCCCCCAAACTCTGCAAGAATTATTTAACGTCGCAGACAGGACGACGTGATGAGCTTGGTTCTTGCCTGTGCTTTCAGCCCACAACTCAGCCTTTCCGGCCTACTGTGCCACACCGAGCAGCCCGCCGGTCTGTACCGGTCCTTGGGACGGTTCGTATCCCCCGGGATAGTCGAGTCGTCAGACACAGATCCTCAGCCTTACTTGGTCCGGTAGGGGAGTGGTTCAAACAGGCCCTCAACACTTAAAGACTGCCTGGTGTGTCAGCCTTAGCTGCCGTTTAGGCCCACTGAGTCCTACCAACCGTTTCCAGCCGGTCAGCACCGGTCCTTGGGAGGGTTATGCCGCCCTGGAAAGTTGGATCAGCCACAGTCTCAGCCCTACAAGGTCAGAGTAAGGTTTCGTCAGCCAAACCTATCCATGCACAGAGTACTATCACATAGGACAGGAGAGACTCGATGCAGAAAGATGAGACAGACAGACTCAGACTCAGCAAGTACCGTAGGGTGAGTGCACATCCATAGGGTGAGGGGGTAGGCTAAGGGCTTGGCGAGATGTTACCAACTCCAGCTTGGTCAAAGTCTTGGTCAACGGCGCCGGTCAACTCCTCTATCAACGCTGAGTCAACGCTGCAAGACCCCGGTCAACACCTCGGTGAACCTTCCGGTCAACGCCCGGTCAACCCTCCGGTGAACTCTCCACCTCAGCTATGGCTGCCGACACCTTCGCCTTCACCGCCCTTGTCTCTTTCCTCTCCTTCCTTCACCTTCTTCTTCCTTGCTGTCTTTCTCTCTCTCTTTTTTTTTTTTTTTTTTTTTTTTTTTTTTTTTTTTTTT